ACTTCCCGCAATCTTGTACCTTGTCCCTCGTTAGTCCTGGTTCCCTGATCCTTCTCATGCTCCTCKGTTTCATGATCTCTGCCTTTGCCCTCGTCGGATTCCTCCTGTCATCTGCTTGCCCGGTAAYGACTCCTGCTTCACTTCYTGGTTTTTCGGCTCTTGGATTTTCCCTCATYGGCRYGACGCTTCATCGGATTACACGGCTCTYGACCCCTGCTCAGTTTACGGACCCACGACTCAAGCCTGCTCCACTAAGTCTGGTAATTCTTTTGATTTTGATCCTTGCTTATCCCTGGACCCAGTTCTTGTCTGTTGGACTCAACCCCAAACAATTCCAAACGGTGACGACATCATACGGGCTCGGACCCTCTCAACTCAAATCAGTGATTGTGTATGGAATACCCAAACCAACACCAGGTCAGTGACTTTGTATTTTCTCTCGGTCAAAATTCACATTGACTCTGTTTTTAATAGTTTTTCGTGTGTCCAGAAGTTCCAGTCCAACTCGATGTCCTGATCCAGAACCACACCAAAGCCTTGCACATCAACAATAAAATCTGTAAAACTGTTTTTGAGTTTGGCATTAATTCAGAGTTCAAAGACCGGTTCATATCAACATTCAAATATAAACCTCCAACAAATTATTGTCTTATTTGTTGACTTATGGCCTTTATGCCAAAGCCTTAACATAAGAAGGTGATGCAATTTACAGTCTTGAAATACCTTGAAATGTCTTTGCCATACCTTAAATTCCTAAATTGCACATAAAAATGCCACAAATGGTTTGTAAATATTACTTTTCCACAAATATAACTTAGTAAAACCATGAACAAGAATCTCTCCCTGAAAACCTCATACAGCAGCAAGTCTTAGCTTTCACTGTGATCATGTTTTGATAAAACAAGAACTATTGCAATCATGAAATGAAAAGCTCAACATATCAAAAAATAAAGGACAACGAAGATGTTGCATTGTATTAACTTTGAAAAAAGTGCCCAAGTCAGGATATAAAAAGGAAAAACATTGTTATGATTTTTGCCTATTTATATTATCACATTTTCTAAAGGAACAGCAATGCAAACGTTACAGCAATTTTATCCTTAAAACCAACAATTTTACATTTTCAAAGATTTCTTTTCCATTCTTCTCAAATATGTTAAAATACACATGCACTGATGGCCTTTCATGTTCAGTCAGTATTGAGCTTGATGTTCAGACTACACTTTTCGTGTCAGTGCCTTATATGCAAAAGCCTTAACATAAGAAGATGATGCCATTTACAGTCTTGAAATACAACAGCCTTTGATATATAAGAATGCCATACCTTAAATTCCTAAATTGCACAAAAAATCCCACAAATGGTTTGTAAATACGACTTTTCCACAAACATAACTTCTCAGTAAAACCATGAACAAGAATCTCTCCCTGAAAACCTCATTAAGCAACAAGCCTTAGCTGTTTCACTTTGACCATGTTTTGATAAAACATGAACCATTGCAATCAATGAAAAGCTAAACAAATAAAAAATGAAGGACAACCAAGATGTTGTGTTGTGTTATCTTTGAAAAAAGTGCCCAAGCCAGGATATAAAAAGGAAGGTAACACTTTACAATAAGGTTCCCCATATTTATAGATAGGTTCTTAATTAGTCTGTTAACACTTTATAAATCGTTAATAAGTGTTTATTATTCATTAATTAAGGGCAGGAAAGAGACAAAACTGTCCAATTTCTTGCCAAATAGTGAACCAAATGTGTTCATGTATCACATTTAAAGGTGCTTATTAAACATTTCAGACTAGTTTACTACCTTGTAAGCACAATAATATGTTATGAATCATGTCAAGCCATCACCAAGTTAATGCTTCATTCATCACACCTGAGCCTTAGTAATCAACGTCATGACACTCACCTGCTTCACTTAGTATTTAAGGTCCTCCCACTCACTGCTTCAGCGCCAGATCTGTGAACGACTCATGTCTAGTAATAATCCAGCACTCATGTCACGTCTTGTCCTCCTGGTTACGATCCTGTTTCTGTGCCTCGGTTCTTCGTCTC